AATTAAGTTCAAAAACGGAATGTAATCAAATAGTAATAGTTCGCAAACGAAATAAAAAGGAATTAAAGTATTTCAAGTCAAACGAAATCAAAAGGAATTAAAGTATTTCAAGTCAAACGAAATCAAAAGGAATTAAAGTATTTCAAGTCAAATGAAATCAAATAAGAATAGTACTATTCAAAACTCAGTTCAAAAAGAAAATGTAATTGTATTTATATACTTTGCGTTGTGTTTAGAATTTGATAAAGTTTACCAAAAATAATGCCAATGTAGTTGCTGTTAAATAAGAATTTATAAGTACTCATACTTCCTCGGACTATATACAAGAGTGAAACAGCCTTCCAACAGCAACTACGGATGCTCTGACAATAGAGGGTTCCAGTGTGCACTTGCCAACTATAGTGCACCCCAGAAATCAACACATAGACAGCAGCCAAGTGTACATAGTTTTAATTGTATATATCTCGGGACTTTTTATCTGTAAATAGTCACGTCCAGGAGAATTGCTGTCTCATTCTCCGTCTAGTGGACTTATAGCATTCCAATAGGAATCCAGTCCTTAGCAAGGAAGAAGAAGAAATAACTCGAGTGGAATCAAAGTCAGCCTAATTTAGACTAAATTTAGAGTGTATCAGAGAAGGGACTGACAGGGAGCAACTCCTGATTATGTTTTAGATAAAAACTTAGGTAGTTGCTATTTTGCCGGCACCAGCAAAATTGAAAATATGCCATTAAGCCGGCTCTAGGTAATTAAGTGGACGCCAATTTTGCCACTAAAACGATTTTGTCTACAGATATGCAATTGAAAGAACTGACGTACTATTATTTCAAAAGCAAATTTAATTTAGACGTTTTTTTTATTTTGAAGTTATGTGATTGATTTTGTTAGATTGTATAATGTTTTATGCAATGAGATTTTTTATTTTATTTTTTTACAACATACAGTTAAACAATTTGAGAATTTTATTCTTATGCATACATGTAGCATTAGACTGTGACTGATTGTAGAATTTATTTCAACTACATGTTATGATATGATTTCATTGCTACAAATGGATGCTCAAACTTTTATTTCTATATCTTCATTCAAATTCTTATTTTCACTTGGATTCATAAAAGTTTTTTAGACGATTATATGGATCTCAATTATTGTTACTGAACGTTATCTTATTTAACTATATGAGTAAAAATTTGATTCTTTTATGTTGACAATGCACATTTTCGTAGTACTTTTCAAAATAAATATTAAAATTCACTGTGTATAAGAACCGGCAAAATAAGAAATTCACTATATTGCCGGTTCCGGCAAATTAGCCATTGTGCACTATAGAAATATGCTATTTTGCCGGCTTTTTTAAATAACGTAACTGATTAAGATATTTTAAGACTTGTCACTTGTCTGTTCCAATCCTTGTATTGTGTTGCTGTAAATGTTTATTTACTTGTATTAAAAAAAAAAAAATTGTTTATACCTGGGACTATTAAACTAGTATAATAGTCCCAGTTTATATACTAAATCTTTCCTTTATTCTTCTCGTTGGGGTGAAGGGTTAAGTCAGGTGAATTGGTGACAGGTAAATATTGAAATTTTAACTTATGAATTATTGATAATTGTTTATCCAAAGTGTGCTTGAAAATTGTGTGTGCAATTCTAAAGACATTTTAATGTAGCGATAACTATTTGCACCTCGTAAACCCCATTAATTGTGCTGAAAACCACGTGCATGACATGTGGAACACCTGAGCACAAAAGACGAGATCTGCAATACCTTCTCCGCTCTTACCCAAGAAAAAAGGGTACAATAAGCAAAACGATTACTTGCATACGCTCTATTCTCTTCTCTACGTGAAATAATTGGAAAAAAAAGAACTGACTTATATATATAAAACATTATTCTATTCTATATGACTGAGGATGTCTTTACTGACTTTAGGAAAAATACCCCCATTTGGAATCAACAAGTATTTATATGCATGTAAGTAGCATATACAGCATGTACTAAAGTATACTTCCTTTCCAAAGCATATATACAGCTACTAACTGGCGTCGAAAGACAAAACAAGTCCACAAAACACAACATAAAAAACTAAAGACTTCAGGAGCAACACAAACCCAACCAAAAACCAGGGTTGATCTCAGGTGTTCTGGAATGGTAAGCAGATCCTGTTCCACATATGGCACTGTTATGTTACTCGTGTAAGAATAAATTTGGTGATGTCACATTTTAACATAGAAACTGTAAAAACACAGTGATAATCGAGACATGCGAGACAAAGCATAGATATGACAAAAACTGCAAATTGTCAGGTGTTGTGTTATTGGAGTTATTTAAATGTCATTGTTTGATGATTTTGAGCTTTTACTGTATGTCTTCTGTAAATTTTCTTTAAAAATCTTCTCCTCTGAAACTGCTCAATAGATTGAAACCAAAGTTTGTCTGCTTCAAAGGATGTCAACTAAATTGTATCCAATTTTAGCAGTTGGCTGTTATTTTTCTAACATTCGTTATAATTTTAAATCTTCCAAATTTTTATGGCTGTTGACACAAGAAAATGTATCTCTTATGGAAAAAATGGGCTGTTATATTAGAGAGTGTTTTGAATTAAGAAGATCAGGTATGAATATTGATACTACATTTTGTAAGTGTAGTAAATAATTTGAGAATGAATGCATATATTAAATGTAATTTTATTATTTTATTGTGCATCTCACAATATATATTGTTGTTGGCTATGATTCTGACCAATGCTAATATACTAAATATACATTTACAATACATGTACACTGTGATGTTTTTTGTTGTATTTATCAATTATGTCAATCAATTGTAACTGATTTTATGCCCTTTATGGGCCCTGTAATTTAGGAAATAAAAATATTCTATTCTATTGTGCAAACTATAGGAGCTAGGTTAAAAGTGTTAATTGCAAAAAATGGTTCAGCGCAGCAAAATGTATCTTGTCAACCAGTTTTGGAGTTAATATGCCCTGAAATAATTATTTTTTGCAGATTTTGGATGTTGTCATGAAAAATATAAGAGTTAGGTTAAAAGAGTGAATTTCAAAAAGGTTCAGTACAACTAGATGTATCTACTCTGAAAAATAGAGAAAAAATCTGGTGACCTGTTTTGGAGTTATTGCCCATGAAATTCTCATTTTTTGCCATGTTTGGCTGTTATCATGGTTATTGGGAAAAATATAGTACATATAGCTAGGTCAAAAAGGTTCCCCAAAAAAAGAATTTTAACTCTGAGAATTTCAGAAAAATCTGTAAACTTGTTTTTGTAGTTATTGCCCCTGAAATATACAATTTTCTCAAATGCTTTGTTGTTATTTGGAAAACTATAGAAGTTACAAAATGTAGGTTAAAACTGTAAACTGATCACCATGACAAGATCTATCTACATATACTCTGATATTTTTTACAACCAATTTAGGAGTTGTTGCCCTTGAAATGATGATTTGTACAGTTTTTAGTAGTTTGGCTGTTATCTAAAGAAACTGAATGTTGCAAAAATGATCAGCAATACAAAGAGCATAGTATGTGCATATAAAAGTCCTAATTAGCAAACTGGCTATATTTTCACCAGGTGAGCAATACATGCACAGGTGTGCCTCTTGTTATGACCTTTTACCATGATTTTAGGTTAACAATTACATTCATGCAATTAAAACATTCAATATGGGGATGGCTTTATACATGTAATTATCAATATTCCAAACTTTATCACTGCTTGTGACTTGCAAAACAAATATTACATTTAGCGCATTCAATTCATCATATCCATGAACATTTAAAGAAATTTATCAACACAACATATCTTCAGATATTCAAGTTACAAAATGATGTGTATGAGTATCACTATACTTCTTGTTAAGAAAATAACATAAATTGTTCATGTTTCAGTAATCTATCTGTTCTAAAATAAAAATATCAATGATGTCACTGTTATAAAATAACATTTAAAATTGGAGTTGTCTTCCTTTGTCTATAATTGTAGTTCAACAACTACAATAATGGACTTTAAAGGAAGATATCTCCAATTCACAGTAAGTCAATGTTAAAGTTAAATTCCCACTCCAATGCAAAATGCATGCAATCTTTACCTTTCAATGCTCACAAGCACTTTGATTTATAATCTCTTGAAAACTTTAATGGATAGACACAAACTCACTATAGACAGAAAAATTATCATAAGTATGTGCAATGTAGTTGTTTTAGCTTTGGCACATATTTCATTTCCGTGGATATTATTTGGCTTTTCACCTTTAGTCATAGCGTATTGACTTTGAATGTTTTGCATAGTTCAAGTATTGCCATCTGATTTCAACATTTGCATTATACGATCAAAATTACATACAGGCGAGACATATTTCTGTGTTTTTGCTAAATATTATGACCATACACTAATGCAGCAAAGGCTTGTGTGCACTTTTATAATGTCTTGGATGTAATAGACCAGAGGACTAAAAAATCTTACCTTTGTATATAATATACATAGAGTTTTATTTTCAATGAAATCTCGAAAGGATGTTTTCCCTTTACTATGTTCCTCTTGATGAGAACTATATGGCAATAGACATGACAAATTATATGTTATAATTTCCTACATTTAAGCAAGTTATAAGAGGTCAGTGGACTGCAATCACACATAATAGGTGCTTAAAATAGAATTGGTCTGTGAAGTTACTGCTGTGATAAGTGTGGAGCATATAATACTAGATCCACACTTGCTTTAAATGAAGACTACTTGTTGGGCTTTTGTTTGTTGACATTCTACAGTCAGATGGCCTAGTCTAGTGAAGTCTGTTATCAATGTACTTATCAGGCCTTTAAAGCCCACTGGTATATTTTTGGTTGTAAGATCTTTATTGATCATTGGTGAAGTTTATTCCAGGTGATATTATGTAATACTGCTTTGAACAATGATATACTTCAAACAGAGGTAAACAGTTACTATGATAAGTTATTATTGAATTCAGGTAATGATACATGATAATGGGTGACATAAGGTCTCCTTGTGTCATTTAAATTGTCCTGGGAAAATTTTCACTGCTGGTGATATTAGACTGAAAGCAGGTAAAAGTAAAGTTTTAATAGAATTTTATTTTCTAAAAGTTGAGGTAAAAAGTTAGCTTTCTGCAAATTAGAAATATAAGATTAATCAATGTTCTAAATTTATCACAGTCACATGAAATCAGATACATTTACTTTAACAAAAAATGTACATTTGTCAGTGTATATGGTAGCTGTTTATATGATAAACTGTGGATTCATTAATAGTCGTGGGTTACTATTTTTTGTTTTTCATTGTCCAACTAAATTAGAATTTGAAGACTGCCACATTCTTTATGTGATTTCCCCAATTCAGGAGCCTTTAGATCAGCGGTTGTTATCGGTTGCTGTTTTCCATATTTGTTTTTTGTTTATTGATATGGGGTAGTATACATGGTATATGAGTCAGGCCATCAATACACCTTATCGCTATTTGTCCGCCATTACTGGATATCACACAGGTTCCCGTAAAATTTTGACGTCATAATACAAAATATCTGACGCCACAATTGAAAAGTGATTGTTGTATGACGTCAATAGTTCAAGCGGGACAGATTCTCGGGTCAGCCGGGAATAGCTATAAGGTGTATTTGGAATTGTCTCACATTTTGTTATATTTGTACATTTATATGTTACTTAATGTTAAGGGTTTTACTCATTGTTGAAGGCCATACAGTGACTTTGGTCATTTGGTCTCTGGTGGATAGTTGTCTCATTTGCAATTACACCACATCTCCTTATTTTTATATTAAATCAAGAATTTGTGAAAACAGTATTATTCTAAATCCAAGAAAATTGGTTCATGCTCTAATAAATGAATCTACAGTTTAAATGTACATTGTGTAGCTGTTCGTCTAAGTTCAAAGAGGTCCTAGGTAGCTGAGTGGTTTAAGTAGTTCTACTACTGTATCACTAGCCTGTCAACACTGAGGTTATGAGTTTGAACCCTGCATTGTCAGGTGTGCTCGACTCAAATCTTAATTGATTAGGATTGTCAGTTTTCCTGCCGAAGGTAGGTGGTTCTCTCTGGGCACTCTGGCTTCCTCCACCAGTAAAAACTGACCTCCACGAAATAGCCAATAGTGCTGAAAGTGGTGGTAAACACCAATCAATCAATCCATGTACAAGGATCATCATTTTTTTTTGTCTTTGAATATTGGAGTTGAATTTCGCATTAGATAACACATTTATTGGGCTGCAAAGAAATCTATTAAACTTTGATTCTTATTATGGTATTTGGATTTTAAGTAGTCCAATTAATAGATCTTTTGAAGCACTCATCATCAGGCACATATAGTTTATTAAGTTTAAGCGAAGTGTTTTTCTCTAATGTTTTTAATTAATGGACATAGAACGCTGTATATGAAGGAAAAGCATGTACACATTTTTAGTAAAGAGGCTAATAAATGTTTTGGGAGGAGTGATTTATTTGGATTCGTTTACTATTTTATTTGATAATCAGGATAGTTGTTATTATAACCATTGAAGAGGAGAATTCAACAATATGCTTCCATTCTATTGCTAGCTATTTCACCTAGTGGTCAAATACGACATATCTTAAATTCCTGTCTTGACATTAAGTAAACAATAATCAATTGGTAATATGTTTGTGTAAAAATTTTCATTAACCTTTTTTGTCTTGAAACACTTTGGAATTATGAAATATAGTCAGCCTGAATCATCCTTAGTATGTTAAGTCTAAAATATACCATCAGTATATGTTCATGTTTTTGACCAGTGGAAGTTTGGCGATAGAAATGTCAACTTGTGAGAGTTGTTTTCCCCCAGACTACAGCTGTTATGGAAAACGACCCTAAAAAACTCTGGATGACCACCAGCTAAAAAGTCCATAATTGTATATTATGTTCAGAATAAATCCTACTTGGATTGACATAATTTTGACCAAATAATAGCCATTATAAAATTGGATAAAAATTGAGAATTTCACTTCAGATCACTTCCTGGAACTGCTTTTAAGTGTCCTTTGAGCCTCTGGCTTCAAGTTCCATAAACTAGAATAATTATTTCGCTCTGGCTTTCAATTACTTTTCCAATAACTGTTATAGTTAGTTGACCTTTTACCCTACTCCTAGCTAGGCTAACATTAAATTGAAATGAAATGGGTCTTGAGAGACTTGGTCATTGATATGGTAATTAACATCCTTCTAAGGGCGAGTAATTACCACCACAATAACACGGACTGTTGTATTAATCAGGAAACTAACAAATGATGTCCAGGTCTAATGATGAAATGAACATCTGTCTGTACTGAAGATGTATTGGCCTCTAGGCTTTGTATTACACGATGATGATTCACCGAACAATTAAGATTTAAAGTCAAACTAATGTCACTTTTTGGTTGATTTTAGAGGATGTACTGTGAAAGTTGACAGATAACTATATAGTACAATACAGGTAAGAGATTTATCATATATTCATCATAGAACTATTTTGTTATTATGTTATAAAATGAAAGTAGCTCAATAGTATATCTGTTCTTTGATAAGCAATTAAATCTTTTGAAAAAATTTTTACATTTTCATTATAAGCTTCATCTGTATTATTTTTTTCTATTTTTCTTCAAAAAATATTTAAAGTATGTGTTACAAGTAAATTTTTTATATTAATTAAATTTGTATTAGATTCACAAAAAATTTAGACCTGAACAAAAATTTACGCTAAAGGCACTGCTTTTATACATTAAAATGAATCTTAAGATATTATGCCAAAAACCTTATGTTAATTTAGAATATTTTCAATAAATATATCAAAATGTAATGTAGATTATTTGTAATATATTTGTAGTGTCTAGACTGGATGCATATTGTATTATTTACCCCCACAAAATTTCAACATTTTTATACATTTTATTTTATTTTGAATATACATATATAGCATGTAGACTGATTGAACTTGACGTTTTAGAATTTATTTTAAAACTTTATTCACATATAAATAACCTACATCAATGTAGATTTGAGCAATTAAACATATGTACAATACAGAAAGTATTTGATATTAAATTCTCATGAACATTCTTTTAACTTTAAAATGTTTCTTTTATAACTTATATATTTCTCCTGTGGGGTGGACATAAAAGGCTACACAGGTACATTATCTATTGATAGGACAACTCGTTAAAGGTATGAAATTCTTTCTTTTATCCAGATGTACACTATAATGATAAGGTATAACTCCCTTAAGCAACCAATGGATCATTGCTCATTGTTAGGATGAGACAGATTAAATTTTGTTTGTAGGTTTTTTTCAATTTAGTAATTACCTGTTTTGGGTAATCATTACATTTGTGCAAATAGTTGATTTAAGTATGTTGAAAAATTGCAGTACATGTATAACTAGTTGAAAACAGGGATCTGTTGATTTGTCACATTTGTATTATGCTGCATATGAAAAAGTTGGAATATTTTTTCAGCATGTTTAAATCATCTATCTGTGGTCTGTATAGGGTTGATATATGCAGTTATGCATACATGTAGGGGAGAATAGATCCACATACTGTAGTAAAGGAATTTTTTGTAAGGGGTTTATTTTGCGAATTTTGCTATCAAGATAGAATTGTGAAAATGATAATCTCATTTGCGTAAAGTTCTGTAAAATCAAGAGAAAAGAAGAAGAATAACATGAAAATAAAACCCTTACAAAGAGGTTCTGCATAAGACAACACGAAAAATAACCTGCTCTACAGTAAGATGCATTCTGTCACAAACAAATGCCTGAAGTGTAGGACTGACAATTTATCTCTGATTTAAAGAGAGGAAATGAGGCAGACATACATGAGACAACAAACTCATGAGAAGGAATTAACCAATTAACATGTCAAAGGAACGTCCCTCCAATACACCTTATCCCCTTTAAGTCTGCCATAACTCACTCAGGACATCACAAAGGTTCCAGTAAAATTTTGATGTCACAATAGAAAATGTCTGATGCCACAAAGGAAAAGTGATTGTTGTATGCTGTCAATAGGCAGAGTGTCGCAGATTCACAAATGAGGTGGAGGACAGGGGGGGTACCCTTCTCCCACCTCCCGCCCCCTATCTCCCACCTCCCACTTTTAGAATCTTATTTTTTTCTCCCACCTATTTTTTGTCTCCCACCTCCTGCCCCCCTTCCTCCCACCTCCCACCCCCACCTCCCACCTCCCTCAAAAGCTGTCCACCCCCTAACAAGTAGCAATAAGGTCGATTTTGATGGGATCATTATAAGAACTTGAGGGGTATATATCCAGTCTAGACACTTGAAAGTTATACCTAACTACAGACACTGACATTTACTCGTATCTGAGTGATGTAAATAAAATCTGCATATTTTGCATTTGAATCTGATTTACTGTTAATTAAATAATTTGATAAAACATCCATAAATTTGTATTTTCTGGCTCAGATAGCCTGTCCTGTTACTGAGAAACTCTACTGGGAAAGTAAAAATTACAGATATATGTTTGCAAGTATTCAAATATAAATGTACAGTTATATATAAATTTTTAATTAGCATGAAATTAGTTATCTTAAATTTCAGTAGTTCTGAAGTTTCAAAATTGTTTTGATGTACTTTATTATCAAACTAAAGTAAAGGAAAGCAATCTTTATATAGACAGGTGTGACAGCAATTAATCAGTCATAAACTATTTCTGATATCATGGTTATGTAGTAATTGATTTTCCAAGGTAATAAAATGGAACAAAACACTTCATATCTTATTGAATCAGTAAAATTTATGTTGTATTATTATTTTTTTCTGTTTACATCAATATTTGAAAGGGGGGATTCCAGGCATTATCTAGCATAAGTTCTTAGTATCTTGCATAAGTTCTTTTGATAATTGAATATGACCTTACTGCATGTGCTTTCCACAAAATGAAGATAAAAAAAGGATCGAGATAAGGGGTATGTGTCAATGAGACAGGAGATAAGGGGGTATATGTCAATGAGACAGTAGATAAGGGATATATGTCAATGAGACAGCAAACTAATGACACAAAAAGTCAAAAGACATCTAAATATCAACATACAGTCTGACCAGCGTCAAAGTCAAACCCTTTGGTTTCATGAATTGTGTCAGAAACCCATGGGGCTAAAATTTTAAATACTTGGTAAAACTGTTGTATAACATTTAAAATACTATAAATTCAGATATTATTGTTTATTATTGCGAATAACACGACTGGGTGAGTATCGCAATTATAAGAACTTGTATTGTGATATCTGAAACATATCTGTTAGTAGATTTTCCTGAAATATCAATAATTAATCTTACATTTTTGTCCATTCTTCAAAAATTGCAATAATAAATGCACACAATAATTTGTAAATTTACAGTAGTGTGAAAGTTTGAAATAAATGTCATAATTAAGGTCAATCATTAATAATAAGACTTATTTGAGTTTCAACATTTTTCTATAGACATGAACTCATAATAATTTTGGTGTCATAAAATAAGCGAAATTGATGTGTCAACAGTTGATTACACGAATTCTAATTATACGGACTTCTTCATTACCATGAGTATTTTATTAGTTGGACAGAGTTGTAATTATGATAATTGTGCTAATTAGAGTGAATTTGTTTACTCAGTTCGAGTGCTAATAACTTGTCATGGAGATACAATATAAATTTGTTTTAAAAGTAAACTAAATCAGAGAAGAATAGTAATACTATGCAGTAAGAGTCATATTATTCCTACATTAACCATTGCACTGTACTTTGACTTGGAAGAAAATATAAAATCTTAAGAGCTGACCTCAACATTTTTTGTCAAGTAAGCGAGACATAGTGATCCTAGATTCTGTCGCGGCGTCAACACATAGGTTCAGTTTGTGTTTAAATTTTTAAAATATCTATTTTCGTTTTGCTGTATTTTACGGATAAATGAACTTATTTTTTTTTTACATTTAACATTCAGATTTAGTTTAAAGTATTTCAGTTAACAATAACTTTGTCAAACCTTCATGGAATTTTAGGAAATTTGGAGAGAAGCTTGTTTATGACCAGAGGACAGTATCCAGAGCACAATTTTGAAAATGTTTATTTTTATTTTTCGGTATTTTACTGATAATTTCATAAATGGACTCAGTTTTTGTCGAGCCTGCGACTTCTGTCGCAGAAAGCTCGTCATAGGGATAGTGAGGCGGCAACGTTAACAAACTTAATAAAAGCTTAATATTTCAGAAGGTAGAATACTTGCGGCTCTTTTCACAAAAAATCTTAAGAGTAAAAATACTCTTAAGTCATACACATTTCAGTATAACTTACAATCAATTTTAATCGTAAGATTTTTTGTGAAAAGAGTTGCTGGATCCTTGATACATCGTACATAGATGCCTTATGTTATGAAGTTTCCGTCTGTCATATGTCCATTGTCTTTGACCTCATTTACATGGTTCAGTGACTACTTGAAAAAAAAGTTATTCTTAATTTTAATCAGTGAACAAGGTTAAGTTTTCGTGGTCAAGTCCATATCTCAGATACTATAAGCAATAGGTCTACTATATTTGGTGTATGGAATGATTGTAAGGTGTACATGTCCAACTGGCAGGTGTCATCTGACCTTGACCTCATTTTCATGGTTCATTGGTTAAAGTTAAGTTTTTGTGTTTTGGTCTGTTTTTCTAACACTGTATGCAATAGGTCAACTATATTTGGTGTATGAAAATATTTAAGGATGTACATGTCAGTCTGGCATGTTTTATTTGACCTTGACCTCATTTTTACATTTATTGCTCAATGTTAAGTTTTTTGGTCTGTTTTTCTAATACAATAAGCAATAGGTCAACTATATTTGGTGTATGGAATGATTGTAAGGTGCATATGTCTGTCTGGAAAATGTCATCTGACCATGACCTCATTTTCATGGTTCATTGGTCAATCTTAAGTCTCTCTGGTTAATAAGAGAAAAATTAAGCCATGGCTCCGTGTTGAAGGCCGTACTTTGACCTATAATGGTTTACTTTTACAAATTGTGACTTGGATGGAGAGTTGTCTCATTGGCACTCATACCACATCTTCTTATATCTATAAGTTTGTTTCTTAGATAATATATGCAATAGGTCAACTATATTTAAAGCATGTAATGATTTTAAGGTGTACTTGTCTGGTTAAGTTTGTTTCTGAGATAATATGTGCAATAGGTCAACTATATTTAAATTTTTTACTTTTTACACATTGTGACTTGGATGACTTGGGAGTACAAATTTTTTTTTTTGGGGGGGGGAGGGGGGTCAATTTTTTTTCCCTCAAGATTTAAGAAATTATAAATTTTCCAAAAAAAAAATTAGGGGTCACAATTTATTTTGTTAATTCTTTGTATATAGTCTGAAAACAGATTTACTAAGTATTGCGCAACAGCACAGTGTATTGCACAACAGCAAGAAATCTTCAATTGAATATAAATTCAAATCATATAACCTATTTCAAGTTCTTTGACTACATTTACAATCCAAATTCAGACCTGTATCAAGCTTAAATATTGTGTCCCTTTTTTGCCCCAACTGTTCAGGGTTGGACCTCTGCCGTCGTATCCAGCTGCGCTCGGTGAAGCAGTTTATTTACATTTAACAAATAGATACAGTCTGGGATTAAAGTTTGTTACACCTCAATTACTTTATCAAACCTTCATAGAATTTTATGAAACTTTGGCAGAAGCTTTTTTATGATTAAAAGATAATGTCTGAAGCAAACTTTTGAAAATATATTTTTTTCATTTTCAGTATTACTGATAGATGGACTTAGTTTTTTTACAGTTAACATTTACAGACAGTCTGGGATTAAATTTGTTGACATGATAAATTTGTAAACTTTCATGGATTGTTATAAAACTTAAACAGAAGCTAATCTTTAAGACCATGGAATATCAGCTAAAGAAAAAGTTTAAAAAAAAATTATTAAATTCCGTATTTTACTGATAAATGGACTCACTTTTTAAGTCAACATTACACTTTTACACTGACAGCAGCAATCACAGGCTAGACACAGGATTCCATGGAACCCTTTACAAATTTTTTAGTGATTTTACACATAAAGTTACAACCCCCAAAAACAAAGTAGCCAGCTGCTATCCCTTTGTTACATGAACAATAACTTTTCTTGGTGTTGGATTGACGAATATGAAACTTATTTTCTGGAAGTGTGCTTATCCTATTGAAAATTTGAAAAAACCCCAATTTATAAAAACTGTAAGGTAAATACACTTAGTGAAATATATCCATAGGTGACAATAATGTTAGGTCGTATGTTGACAAAACTGAGGCTGGAAACAGTTCTAAATCAATGGAAAAGCCTAATTTTGTTAAAATTGTGTCCAATGTCAGAATTGCTAGGTAGGCCTGCAATATATCTTCTGAAAGAATAAGATTTGTAGGTAACTCATATATTTAATAGTAATAGAATTGTTAGATACAGGTAAGACAAAAAGGCTAGTTAAAGTACTCAGTGAAATGTAGGATAAAAATTCAAGAACACAAAGATTACTGTGTTTGACAAAAACCTTTATTTATTTATTATTAATTGGTAATATTAAAAGTAGTTAAACACCATTGCTTCTAGCATTTAAATGGTATACAAACAAAAATATTAGAATACTTTGTTCAATTTAGCATTGCCAGTATTAATTTGAACCTTTTCTTCAAAATGTTTTCTTTTGGAAATTAGACTACCGGTAATAATCTTTATTCACCTAACTGAAGAATCTGGTATGACAAGTCCGTGAATATAAAACAGTTTAAATAAGGAAGAATCGATTTAATACTATATAAAGGAAAAGTTAATAGGATTTGATATAATGACATTATTTGGTCTGGTTATCTGGAGGAATTTAAAGCCCAGCATAGTCTGTTATAGCAATTATTTATTATCTGACCAATTACTCTATGTTAATTAATGAAAGACCGGTATCAGCCCTCTTACTTCTGGATTTTTCAGTTATTGAATAGGTTATATATATATGACCATTGAATGTACTTTTCTTTATGTAATTAATCTTAGTCCTTTCATGTTCTTTGATGCAGGCAATTTACTCATCTAATTGCAGGAACACTTGGTAGTAGCTGTGAAGATAATTGTACATGTCACATTACTGCCATGTGATCTGTCAATCAAACTGTCAGGTGATCACCTCTAAAACACCAACCTAGTTATTAATGAATGAATGGGATACTGCACAAGAATAAAACAGCAGAAAATTAGAAAATAAATGAATTTGTCTGGTTTTTGGATTGTATTTCATATGTTTTAATGCAATCTAAGTGAAGCTAAGAAAATTTAAGTTTTTCAAGAGGTAATAAGACAGACAAGATCTAATGTAGTTATTAGCTTTCTCAGGACTATAGCATTTCATTACATCTGGAAATAATATACAGATTTCAAATTGTGAAATGAAGCATAACTAGACAACTGCAGTTTATTACGTATATTATATGCATTAAATTATAATTACTTTTTCATGTGATAGAGAAAAATTTATAAAGTCATGAAGAAAAGATTATGTGAAATTATCTAATTGATATAGTCAGGAAAGTAACTATTGTTAACTTTTAAGTGCAGTATATCTGTGGACAGTTTTTATGCTGAAATTAATATTTTCTTTTTCTTTCACAATAGATGGATGGCAACTGATACAAATAGCCACATTAAATTTGAGAAAAGCTTCATATGATATAAGTAACAAAAGGTTGTTAGTGTCCATTAAGCAGACAGTGTTTGAACAGAATTTAGCATTTTATTAGTTTTGGGAATTTACCATAAAAGCCAAAATGAATCATAATTCTAGAGGAATAAATAGGAGAAAAAGAGATACGTGTGGTAAAAACTTCCTTAAAGTTGTCCTTTATGTGTTCAACTTTTTCTTTTGGGTAAGTGTATTATATAGATTTTATCACAAAAAGTCAACTTTGATAATTTTACTATATAAATTTATATAATTTGTAAACGTAATAAAATATAGAAGATTTAATTGCATTATCTCCCTTTGTTTCTTTGTTCAGATTAAATGAAAATTATCTTGGTTTTCTCAGTTTGTTGTTTGCTGTATTATATATATGACATGTCTGCTGCAAATAAAGAATATACCTTGATCGTTTGGTATTTGACAACTTTAAAATTTGTCCATTTTCCCGTCACAATGCTTATGTTATTACATCACAGTAAGAAATTCCATTGTTCAATGCGGCAATGTATGCTGATTGATCTGAAGTCAATCTGTGTAACTCATTCATAAAAAAGAACTTGAGATTGGTCTATACAATAATCTTGATTATTGTCAATTTATGATGGATTTTAATGAAGTCTGAAAAACTACGCAGCCTCCTGTTAATTGGGATTCCTATATCCCAGGTATTTTTTTAAAAACTGATTGACATTCAGAGATGCGCCCATTTAAATATCAACAGAAAATGTCAAAATAAAACATTTATTCAAGTCTAGTAAATATGTAACATATAATGTTCTAATATGACATTTTAATCTAGTAATACTAGTAATAGGGCACCATTATCATGATTAAAGTAAAAGCAGCATGGGAAAATTCTAGTTATCATAATACTGAAAAGTACACATAATTATATAGGTGACTGGCTAAAATATGATCTCCATCTGCAAAAATACCACGACATCCACAGCAAATTCTATTTGTCTTTTTCAGCTGACAGGGATAGCTTTCCTGGCATTAGGAATATATATCAAGTTCCAGAAGCATACCTATATCAGTCTGCTAGGGAGCAGTACTTTTCCTTTGGCAACATACTTATTGCTAGGGACAGGAGCCTTTATAATCTTGTCAGGAATCATTGGTTGTACAGGGACATGTATAGAAAATAGATGTTTTATGGTTATGGTGAGTTGTTTCCCTTTGACCACTTTGTTGACTGGGACTACATTTTTTCTTTTATCTACAAAAAAGAAGTTTCCAATTTTTTACTAAAGCTAACTTCAAATTAAAAAAAAAAATTCATTCCTGCTTATTCCAATTACATGTTATTGTTATGCCCCTCCTACCATTGTACGGCATAATGTTTTTAGTTCTGAGCGTCCAACTGTCCACCTGTCCAATATCAGGTGAAAGTTTTATGCAGAGGTATAGTTTACCATGAATTTGTGGTCACATAAACTTGAAATTTTGTACACATGATCATTATTATGTGTACTTATTAAATTATATGGTAAATTACAGTTTTGACCTGGATTTCACAGTAAACAGAACATGGAAATGTGATAGTGTGAGTGGGACATGGTACATGTTCTATGGACACATATTCTTGTTTTTTAGTATAATAAAAATAAGTTTGGATTTATTCTTAAGATCGTGATTATTACCATTTTGCTCTCACCAATTTTTATTGGGTTATTTCACTGGGATTCTCCTTGCTAAAGCTTTCAAGAGTTTTAACTGTGAGGATTGAAACTTTTAACTTTTTATATCAATTGTTTCTGTAAAAAATACTGACAATTCCTATTGTACTAAACTTCATTCCAAAGCATCTCTTTTGATATTGACATGTAATTATCTATATATCATATATGTTTTCCTATTGTTTTCAGTGTCTCTACATCTGGCTTACATACTGTGGATTCATTTATTTTCATGGATACCAATTTTCTTGGATTGAGGAAAACTAGCATTTTAATAGATATTTGATTTTGTGGTTTTGCCAAAGTCTGCATACATTCTTATAGAAAATTTGCAGTTCATTGTACTTTGGAATTTATGGTTCACCTGTACCCACTAAATCCACGAAAATTGTTATCCAACGAATACTAATGAATCCACAATAACTTTTTCTATATCTTTATATATAAGTTTGTTTTATTTTCAGTATGCCTTGTTTTTGTTGATAATTTTCCTGACAGAAGCAATATCAGGAGTACTAGCTTATATGTATGAAGGCACAGTAAGTATTTTCTACATCGCCAGTGTAAGGTACTTGAGATATTTGCTATTAGTAGATACTTATACACCACTTATGCATAATGATACTTATACCCCTAACATCTGACGTTATTCTGACCCTAAGTATATACATGCCCTGGTACACTTAATACTGCAGAAGATGAATGTAAATTGAAACAGTTCATGGCTATTTAAATTTTGAAAGATGACATACTAAAATTAATGTTTAAAAGTATTGGTTTTGCTTAAGTTGTACCTTGTATACTACTGTGAATTGCTTTATTTTCAAGGATACTAATTTTTCATGGACTTTGTTCATGTGTTGTAAGCATTCAGCACTTATGTCATATGTTATTGTTTTTCTTTCAGATAAAAGAAGAATTATCACGAAATTTAAATTCTACAATGATGAATAATTATCATTATGACACAGTTATCACTAAAGCAATAGATGATATGCAAAAAGAGGTAATTGTCACAAGGATAGATAGGTCATACTTAAAATATTTTTTGTCTCATCTAGGAAGATTGGCCCCTGAAATAATGTCTATCTGTAGATTTTCAACAAAAAATTTAAAATAATTGGATAGTTCATATAAATATCCTTTTTTTCACAAAGATCGACAAAATGTATAATTACACAACTTAACTTAATCACAAAGTCAAAATAGGTGATCAAGTAGTGGATAAAGGAGTAGGAGCAATAAGGCCAGGTTTTGGCCCAAGAAAATAAAATGACAACTATTTCAAATTGGCACATAATGTTTGGAAATGCATAGAGTGAAGAAATATAAATGAAAAACATAAGATTGTTTATTTGATGAAAAATGAAAACAATGAAAAATACAGAATTTGTGTAGTCTTCAATTGTTATTTCCATTACGGAAACATTGTGCGCAGCCAAGAAACAACAAAATAATTTAAGAGAAGTTTTATTATAACTATTGACATAATCTCACCAAATATGAAGTTGTTTCTTGGGTGCGCACATACTTTGCCAATCTAAAATTTACTTAGAATTTGATGAAAAACAAGGAAATTCAAGAAATTTGACAAAATATACAAATTTCGTCATGTTTTGTTGCCATGGTAGCTCGTTTAATGTGAAATTTGTTTTTATTTTCTGAAAACCTTGTACCTTAGTCTAGTAAGGACAAAGTTAAGAATATGTATGATAACCTAGAAATTTGCAGTAATATTTGGGGCAAACAAGGGCCTTCTTGCCCCTACTCCTTTATTAGTTGTAATATTGACTATGAACTAGCTTTCAGTAACTGATACCCATGGACTGATACTTTGTGACTTTTGACTTTTTGTTCAATAACATTTTGGGATTTATGCTGATCTGATGAGTCGAGCCATTTCCAACTTAATGCAACCATAAACTGTTGAATGTTACTTTATGAGCAGCTAAAGCCTGTAGAGTCAATTGTTACTTTTATTTCATAGTTTGAATGCTGTGGTGCAACAGGATATGAAAACTGGGAGAGATCTAAATGGATACAAGAAATGATAACAGAAGATCCTTCAGTAAAAGACAGAGTACCAGATTCCTGTTGTTTGTCTGTTTCTACTGATTGTGCCAAATTTGGTAACGGTCCATCAAATATAAATCCAGAGGTATCTATCTGATAGGACTTTCTAATATAAATGACTTTATAGAATAACAATCTGAGACTCTTTTCACAAAAAATATTACGATTAAAATTGATCGTAAGTTATACTGAAATGTGTATGACTTACGAGTAATTTTACTCTTTAAGATTTTTTGTGAAAGAGCAGCTGGTTCTTATGAAACTACCACATCAGTCTTCATGCCTTTAGCATTATTCCAGTTTATTTTTTTTCAATATGCATACAACATTCATATGTTGCTCTTCTGTTGCAGCTGTTTAGTTTGTAATCTTATCTACATGTATGTGTTTCTAAATGACAATGATATCAAAAGTATTTTAAACTACAATTTATCAATAGTCATTTTTAAAAAGTTTGTAAAGTATTTATGACTGATGTAAAGACCTTTTGTATTGTACAAACTTGGGAAACATTACATACTGTTGGTATTAGTTACTATAAACGGGGGCTGAAAATTTCTAAAGCCCTAGCCAAGAACTCACTTAGAATGAATTTCTGGCTGCTGTGTAATCAAGCAACAAAGTTCATCTGCCTTGCTTGTCATGAATAAAAATACTTCCACAAATGTTCAAGTTTATCAAAGATACATTGATCAAGGGAACAAAAACGGAAAAAAACCTGAAAAATGCCATAACTGACTTCTTCTATGCAAACTAATTCTGAGTCCTCTTCCAATCACTGTACTTCAAAATATATTATCATTGGATGAGAAGCAAAAGAAACATTGAAATTATAAATCAGGTTTCATAAAGTTCAGTTATTTTTATTTTTTAAAGTATAGGACTTGACTTTTCTCTCCCAGCTTGGTTAATCATTTGATACAAGTCTTAGACTTAGACTGACAAGAAAACAGTTTAAGGTTCCTATTATTTGCATTTGTTAAGTTTCTTGTTATTCTTTTATCAATACTGAAGATTCTATGTTATTAGTTGGATACCAATTTTCATGGATTTCATGAGAACAGGTCAACCACAAATTTAAATGTTCAACGAAGTATACATTATCTATTGGCGATGAAAACACATTTTTCCTTAATCTGTAACATTGTTACCCATGAAAATTGACGAATCATCAGTATCTGTATAATAAAACAGAAATTAAACCTTGATATAAAATTTAAAATGTGATAACACACGATCCATATCATTGTATTATTTATAGGGTTGTACTAAAGCATTGGAGAAGAATACAAAAGATTCTCTGATTCTAATAGGTGGAATTGGTTTAGGACTTTGTTGTATACAGGTATGTATGATATATACAGTGGAATCTTGAAAGGTTATAATCAGAGGAAACCCACATCACTTTTGACTTATTTGCTACAAAATTGTCAAACCAGCTGTATTTAAAAACTTTCGTCTGAAATTGATTCAATTTAGGTAAGAAAATGAAATATGTCAAACTTAAAAAAACATTTGCACAAAAAACCTCATCAAAGTTACCAGGCTTATGATTTTGTACACAAGAGGATCTTTTTGTCTACACAAGACTCATCAGTGACACTTGCAAAATATTGATTTTGTCATATTTATGCAAAATGGGGGAGCTGTGTGAATACATTTTTGAGCCATGCATACATTTATTATAGCTTTCCATGAAATCTTGCTTGAAAATGTAATCAGAATTTGTAGTATTTATTGCCAATATATAGTTCTTTAATTCTATTTTTTTATTAAACATGTTAAAAAAACATGAAAAAAAATCTTTACAGCTTTTAGAATTGATAGAAATTATTTCAAGATAAAATAATGTTTTAATTGTCACAAATAATTACTTAACATTGTCGTCTTGTTCTATTTCAGTTGTTGGGTATTATATTCTCTTGTTGTTTAGTAAGGAAATTCAGAGGACGAAAAGACTCATCATATCTTTGAAATAAAAAAAGACATCCAGATATTTGTATGAGAAAGTTTGTAGGTTTCATCCATGACATTCTCCTTCTGGGACCAATAACAGTTTCTTGCCATAGACCAAAAGTATATTTACTGTTTTAAGATGATAGTGTAAAGGGCGATGCAGAATTAGTTGATAAGCGGTTATTGCCTAATAAAGCAGAGTGGTGTCTGTCAGAACATCTGTTAATGTATGATTTACTGTGCCATGAAGTGAACATTGACTTATAAATTTATGATTTTATGTATTTAAAAAAAAATATTGTTTTTGAAGTTCTGTATTTTACATGTGGAAAAAAACACATAAACTTTTTTAATTGTACTTTTAAAATCATGTAAATTCTTTTATTTTTGTTTCAATGTGTGGTACACTATTTGTCTAATATAAAAAGTAAAACTTTTGAGATTGCAAGTTTTCAGAAGCATGTTAAAATATCAGTTTTAATTGTAGAGGGTTTATAAAATTATGTAAACCACTGGCAACTTATGAAAAGATTGTTATTACAATGTTTAACTCCGTAATTGCTAAGTGAAAACCCATAGATAAATATTACCTTTAATGGGAGAGTTGCTATAAAAACCTTCTGAAAATATAAACATGGTCAATTTTAAATGAAATAGGTAGGTTAGTTTTATTTGAGTTACTGGTGGTGAAAAAGTACCTAAATGATGAGGAATTTTTTTTTTTTGTTAATGTATGATATATTTCATTTTTTTTGCATCCAATTAATCTTTTTGTTTTTGAAAAAACTTTTTTTCACATTTTTGTGTATAAATGATTGTTACCAGTGTATTCTAAACTTTTTTTGAATCAAAGACTTACACTTGTTCTTATTTCCATGTATAGAATGAATAATCTTCGACTCAGTAGGGTTGATTATTATTCAGACAGGTTAATTTTTTTTTGTGATGATAGATCTGACTGCAAGATAAATACTGATAGAAATATATTTTTGTATAATGGGACCATTTTAATTTAATTGACACTTTTTTGCTATAAATTGTAATCATGCCAAAGTACAAAATTTACATGCAAGTTTAAAACATTTTATAACATATTTTTTAGGAATTTATTGCACCAATGGCAAGACTATCTTTTGAAACCCCATTCGTGTATGTCTATGCATATTCTGTTAACATGAAGGGTTTAAAGTGATGTTTTTATGCATAAATTTCTTCTAACAAAAATAAAGAATTTTAGAAATATCAACACAATTCTTACCATAAGTATTTTATTATGTAATTACAATTTTGATAATATAAATAACTTGCAACTAAATATTTTTTCCATAGTTCATGTATTACTATAGTTTAGATAAAAGAAGCAGTTTTTGACAAAAACTTAAATACAGTGTTGGTGCTTGTCCATCAATAAATATCTGTATAGTGGCTTTGTGTGTTTAGATGTGTGGTTAGGTTGCTGTCTCAATGAGATCTCTATGTTTTCAGATTGTTTGTATTGATAACAAACCAGTCAGAAATGTAACTTTATTTTGTTGCTATTTTCACTAATTTTCAATCAATCTCAGAATAACTCACCTAGTCAAATTAATGCATATGAAAGTACTGTATTCACGAAAGTAAATTATGTTTTTTTTGTTGTTGAAAAGCTGTATATCTACACTTATCCTAATTTGTTATATCTTGATGAATAATGTTATTGTATTGCCTGTAGTAGGGGTCATTTCTGTCGACTTAGTCACACATGCCACACTTGTTATTCCCTAATTCCTTGAAAACAGCTTGACATAATTCGACCAAATTTTCACAAAATCTTCTTTAAGACATGATGTTTAACCTGCTATTTTTGACCGAGTGATTTTTTTGGGTTTCCCATTCCACACACACTTATATTATTTGGAGACAGCAGGTGATGAAGTTTTTCCTTGGAAGACAAATACATTTTATTCATACCTGTCTTCAATTTATTATTATTCAGAACCTTTCCAGAAAAAAGGAAAGATCATGACCACTGATATTTTGTTTTATTCTGAGTTTCAGAACGAAAATTTTGTATTGCTGAATGCAAGTAAATAATGAATACTTAATGTTTATGCAATGTAGAGATTATGAAAAAGGTGTGGCCAAATTTTTACCTTGGAATAATTTTAGAAAAATGTTCTTCATATATAGGAATTTTTCAGGATATACATGAATTTTAGTGGAAGTTAATATGTTTATTTCCAGGATATGTTACAAAAATAAAAAGGAATAAAACTGTTACTATAACATGTCGGATAAAAGCTCTACAGAGCTTATGTTTGTAATGTAAATTTTCTATTTCTATTCTATTCTAAATTAATCATATCTTCGGTTTGATTACAATTTAATTTGTTTTTCACTTAGAGAGACCTTATGAAAGTGATGAAGTGCCAGTATAATAACAAATTTGATTATGACATATTTTATTATTAAGTTTTTTATTTACCTCATTAAAAGCATTAAATTACATACAATCCATTATCATTCATCGTCAGTATTATATATATTTTTTTATCATGTATAAAGCTTTTTATTGAATGTGAATTTCAAATGTTTTATTGATTTCAATTTTATCAACATTGTATTTATCTTTATTTTAAGCATGAATTTGTTTAAAGGTTGTCTATGTTCATTTTAAAATTGATGAAAATAAAAGAAAGAATTAATTAATTTTGTTATAATGATATAATTACATTACATGTATGTTTCAATACGTTATTTTGATTGGCTCACAGCAATCTCACGTCATTCTAAAATCAACCTTCATTTTAAAATGAAATGTAACATTCATGACGACATGAGCTTCCACAATAAAGTGCACATGTAAACAATTGAAAAACTTGATAGAAATCATGTTTTCATGATTCTAGCAAAAAAATGTAATTATAAGTATTGAATGCTTATTTTAGTAATTTTATAGAGTTGTAAAAGCGTTGACCGTGAGCACATTTTTAAAATGATGCGCTTCCGCCCTTCATACAAAATGTACTTCACTCAATGCTTTTACACCCCAATAAACTTACAAAAAGAAGCATTCAATTCTTAATTAATGGCCTATTAGTATTTTTACATGCTTTTGGTTCCATTTAAATGACAAAATGTAGCTGCCAGAACTAATTTTTGTTTCTGATTGGCCATTTTTAAAAATCTTCTGAAACTACATAGGAAAAATTGCAACATATGTTTTCATATGTTTAACATATGTTTTTCATATGTTTGAAAACATATGTAAACATATGTTTAGGCCCGACATGAAAACATATGTTTTCAAACATATGAAAAACATATGGAAAACATATGAAAAACATATGTTTTTAAAATCATATGAAAAACATATGTTTTTAAAATCATATGAAAAACATATGTTTTTCATACATGTAAACATATGAAAAACATATGTTTTTCATATGTTTTTTACAAACATATGTTTTTCATATGTTTTCATACCTGGCCTAAACATATGTTTTCATATGTTTGTCCTAAACATATGTTTTCATATGTTTGGCCCAAACATATGTTTTCATATGATTTGATCTTGGTCCTAAATATATATTTTTTAAATATGTTTTTAATTGTTCAAATGCATTTATTTTCTCATAGATTCTAAACATGGTTTGTATATATATGTATTTTTTTTTTGCGATAGGTTTTTAAGGGTAACGTTTTTATGATTTTTAATATGTTTTTCTTTAATTTGTTGTCTTTTTTTTCTGTCAGGAACTCATTTTGAGTGTAAATACTTCATTGTGATGAGTTGTTGCTTTAAAAAGTAAGAAACCCAAAATACCAAATTCCACAGAAAAAACATGGCAAAATCAAAAGCTCAAACAAATAAAAAACAATAAGTGCTCCATAATTTTTATATCAAGTAGAATTTTTTTTTTATTAAGTTGTTGTCTCTTCTATTTTCATAGTTTTGTCTCCTTGACATACATTGTACCACATTTCTATTGTCTATATTCTATTTTCATTTGTTTGTCTCTTCGACATACACCATTTCTAGTATTGTCTATATTCTATTTTCATATCACTTTGTGTGTCTCTTTGACATACCCCATTTCTATTGTCTATATTCTATTTTCATATGTTTGTCTCTTTGAAATACCCTATTTCTTTTGTCTATATTCTATTTTCATGTTTGTCTCTTTGACATACCCCAATTTTATTGTCTATATTCTATTTTCATATGTGTGTCTCTTTGACATACCCAAATTTTATTGTCTATATTCTATTTTCATATGAGTGTCTCTTTGACATACTCCATTTCTTTTGTCTATATTCTATTTTCATATTTTTGTCTCTTTGACATACCCCAATTTTATTGTCTATATTCTATTTTCATATTTTTGTCTCTTTGACATACTCCATTTCTATTGTCTATATTCTATTTTCATATTTTTATCTCTTTGACATACTCCATTTCTATTGTCTATATTCTATTTTACCATGATGTATGTGATATTTCTATTGCTATATCACCATACACAGATATGTAATTGTCTTCACTGCTGGCTATTACTGGTGCATGTGTATGCAGCTGCTTTTTGTAAATATCCTGTATGATTAAGAAAGACAACTAAATTGACTTTGAGTTCAATATTGTATTAATTAAAAATTAATGTTCTTTGGTTCTGTTTCTTTACTTTTCAGTTCCTGCAAGTAGAAATAAAAGAACAGAGTTTCAATGTCCACCTAGTCGCACATTTTTAGCTCACCTGAGCCGAAGGGCCAAGTGAGCTATTCTCATCACTTGGCGTCTGTTGTCGTCCGTCGTCATCTTTAACTTTTTACATTTTTAACTTCTTCTAGAGAACCACTGAATGGAATTGAACCAAATATGGCATGAATGTTCCTCATGAGGTGCTGACCAAGTGTTGTTACTTTGTAGCCGATCCATCATCTAAGATGGTCGCCAGCGGGGGGACTTAGTTTAACATAGGACCCTATGGGAAATACATACAAATGTCTTCTTTTAGAGAACCACTGAATGTAATGAAACCAAACATAGCATGAATGTTCCTTATGAGGTGCTGACCAAGTGTTGTTACTTTGTAGCCGATCCATCATCCAAGATGGCCACCAGCTGGGGGCTTAGTTTAACAAAGGACCCTACGCGAAATACTTACATATGTCTTCTTTTAGAGAACCACTGAATGGAATGAAAGCAAACATAGCAATATTAAACCAAATTTGGCCTCAAACATTATTATAAGTATCTGTTATGATTTTTATCTTTTTTTATATGATTTCAAAAACCCAAGTAGAGTCAGGTGAGTCTATAAGTTTAATAAAAAAAAATGAGAGCAATTACGAGGCCATTTTCCATAAATTTAATATTTGCAAGAGGCATAACTCTTTTGAAAAAATTCAATCGGCCATCATTACAACTGCCAGTTATACATCTACACCTTACAATAATTCCATACACCAAATACAGTAAGTATAACTTATTGCTTATAATACCTGAGATATTGACTTGACCACGAAAACTTTCTGACAGAGTAGACAGACACTAGCTATAGGACCTTGCAAGGTACCCACATACTAAGTAAATAGAAATATCCTATTACCATGATTACTATAAATAATATTAATAAGAGAGAAATTAACATTACAAAAAAACTTTAACCGAAGACAGAACCTAAATTTTAGGACAGCGACGCTGCCCCTGGCAGAATCTAGGATCACTGTCTCGCTTTTGTGAAATAAATTTGCAAGCTTGACAAAAAGCAGAACATGTATTTCAGAAATAGAAACTCTATGCAATTATTAATACTTATATGCTGTTATGGTCCTACATATTCTTGTGTGTTCAATATTTTGGCATTACACAAAGTCATGCTTTCTTAGACTGTTTGAAATGACAAATGTTTTGTTGTTACATTAATTGATTAAATCTGTCGAAGGTGAATTGATTGATATTTTAGTTTGGGAAAACATAATTTTTGCATCTTTTATTATTTTGTTATTTCTTTTTAAGTGCTTGTTGATGAGTCCAGCCCTTTCTGGCTGATTTTGACATTTGTTTCTTATGTTGGGTGCTGTCTGCCATACTGTGTGTAGTTTTATTTTTTTCATTGGTTCACATTTTTTCATCCTTATACAAGTTATAGCCATAATAGGTTACTTTATGGTATGTATTTTGATCATTGTTTATGGCTGTACAGTGACCAGGAAATGTTTACATCTTCGTCCCTTGGTTTTTTAATTGATAGTTGTCATATTTAGAATCATACATGTACCTCATCTCCTCATACATGTTAAACATGTTATATCTATATGCTGGTTCATAAAAAATCTTAAAAGGAAATTATTCAATTGTTATATGTTTGAAAACTCTTTCCTATAATGCAAAAACAATAATTGATTGACTTTTCTAGCTTAATAATTTTAATTTAAGATTCAGTGGCAAATATTTTATGTATATTCAAGATGAGAACAACTTTTAAATATACAATTCATAATATAAGCAAATGCTATAATTATTTTAAATTCTGACATCTTATGCGTGTGTGTGTGTGGAGCAGAAGAAGGATTCCTTGATAAAATTGAGAATGGAAATGGGGAATGTGTGAAAGAGACAACAACCCGACCATAGAGTAGACAACAGCCGAAGGCCACCAAATTGATGCATACTTGACATCAGAAAGACATAAATAAACAACAGTATACATGGTATACATGCTGTAACATGTACAATTACACTTGAAAAAGTTTTAAATAGATAACATTAAATTATTTAAATTAACTGCAATTCTACAGATGAACTTACTTTGATACCAGTCCTTTTTGCCTGACATCCGCACCTACATGTACACCATTGATTCTAATACTGTACTTTCCTTTCATTTGGTAACCATATAAGCTGAAATTGTAAATCTTAATTTAATCCAGAAGTCCAGACAAAAACAAGATCATTTTTGTAGACGTAGTATGAACTGATGCTCACTAATTTATATTTTTACTTTTGAGTGAATGGAAACAATATGCAACAAACAACAAAAAGATCAACAGTGTAGCTAATATTATTAATATATGTATAGCCTAAGCCCGTCTCAGTATAGTATGAACTTTTTCTAATATAAGATGATCTATTCTGCTGTCTACAGTTTAGAATAAAATGCTCCCCAGGGCGCAGCTTGATACGACCGCAGAGGTCGAACCCCAAACAGATGGGGCAAGTATTGACACAATATTCAAGCTTGATACAGCTCTGAATTTGGTTTGTGATTAAATATTTGACACAGCATACATGGCATAGGTTTCTGACACAGAATGAATGTGGTCTAAGAACTTAAAAATTTTAAATTAGACATTTACCTATTATGGTCCAATATCCTAAATCTAAATACATGGTTAGATTCAGCATATAAAAGAACCCCCAAGAATTCAATTTTTTTATGAAATCAAACAAAGTTTTATTATGGACCCTTTTGACCTCAATGTGGACCAATTTGATAACGGAGCCCAAAATCAAAAATCTAAATACATGGTTAGATTCAGCATATCAAAGAACCCCATATATTCAATTTTTGTTAAACTCAAACAAAGTTAAATTTTGCACTCTATTTGGACCAACTTGAAAACTGGGCCAATAATCAAAAGTCTAAATACATGTTTAGATTCAGCATATCAAAGAACCCCAAGAATTCAATTTTGTTAAAAT